TAGCTCTGCTGTATGCCTTTACAGGGAGGCAGCTGCCATTAGCATTCATCATGCAACATAACACTCGACACGCTTGTGGGGGGAAAACTCATTTGCTCCATGTAGTTGGAATGGAATGTGGACAGTAGAGTTAGATTTTTTTTTAGTGCTTTTATATATATATATATACATATACAATTTTTTTTTTTTTTTACTGAAGTAAATCTTAAGTGACTTTTTTTCTTGAAAAAACTGTAAGCTGCATGTTTTTTTTTTTTTTTTTTGTTCAGTGTTTAAAAATTGGCATTGATATTGCATGTTATAAACCATATTGCTTTGTTTTCACAAGCGGAGCAGGCACATTGCTTTTCTTCATGTCTGTGCCTCAGTTAATCTCCCAGTTTGTGCCCCTGAAAGTAGGACATGGTAACGTTTCTTTGTCTCGCGTCTAAAGTTCTCTCGCTGCACCGTCAGATGTGCAAATAAACCATAGTCTGCTGAAGGAGCACCCTTTCTGTGCATTTGCATCAAATAAAGTGTGAAGGTGAGGCTGATGGAGGCAGAGGTGAGAGGACGGCGTATTCTGGATCCTGTCATGAAGCTGCAGCTTTTACACTTTTTGCATTCATGTCAGTACAGATTTTGGGGTGTGCTCATCAAATGGTTTGACTCTGTTCTTCTACCATAAAAGGAGGCATTTTACACCATTACTGCACCACTCTGATAATCAAATCGGTCCAGTCCAACATTCCTAAAATGAGAAAATAAACAGACAGCTGCATTTGAACTTGATATGTTCCTCACCTCTCATTGGTTAAATGTCTGCTTGCCTGAAAAATGAGCTGGAGAACTGAAGAAAAATGAATTGGACTACTGAGGGGTATAATGACATATTGATTCACGAGGCATTTTTGCTTGTCAGTTTATGGATAACTGTGTTTATAATGCATTATTTTATCTAATTGATTTCTACTGGCAATACGGATAAGTCTTGATTTTGAAAAGGAATGGATGATATTGGCCATAAAGAGCTGCCATGTTAAAATGTCATTTTAAGAGCTGTCTAGATGGGCTTGGTGCTGCCATTGCTTTTGGATCTTGAAAGTGTATTTTCTTTTTTACAGTAATGCTAAGTGCTATTTAACAAAGATTAGACTGATTTGATCATTGCTCAGTTGATGTGCCAAACATTTTTATTCTTAATTCAAAGGTGAATTTCTAGTGATTCCCCAAGCAGTTGAACTGAGTACTCCGTTGTTTGTAGTTATTTCTAAACAAAGAACACTTAAAATGCTAGTGTTCAAAATTACAGGCGTTTTCCAAAGTGAAGTCCAAAATGGCAAAGATCTTTGAAGATATTTAAAGAATATTTTATGACGGATAACACTGAAGTATCACCTTTGACAGGTAAAAATTACAGTAGTAGAAACATGAAACATAAAATTTAAATGAGGGCATACAACATGACCTTTTTGAAACCTGACCAAGTTTGGTACCAAATGGCCAAAACTTCAAAGGTTGAAGTGACCTGCACCTCTGAAGTCTAACCGTAGGCGTTGGCCACTTGAATGAAAGCCAATCAATGGGATCTGCAGCTTCCATTTCAACAAATGTGGCCTGGCAGCATTTGTTGTGTTTACAGATCAGAAAAATAACAGAATTTTTAATTTCTCAAGGATTGATCCAGCTGAAAAGCTTGTGATTCAGTCTCCAACCAAATTCTCTTCATTTCTAATATTAGCCTGTTGGTTGGATTTTCACCGCAATTGATCTCCAAAACTGATGTCATGATTAATGTAGGAAGAAAAAAAAAAGTAAGAAAATATAAAATGTTGCTCAACTATAACTTATGTCACATTCACAATATTTAATAGTTTTATAGCAGTCGTGAGTTAACCTAATATTGTGCAGTCTTGTTTACAGTTTAGCTTTTTTTTGTAGCTGTAATTTTTCTTCACTTGGCAATTGATGGTGAAAAGCAGTTTATTAATGATCGTTATTAATTTTAATTCACCTTCCTGAAATGAAATGAGGCTTTGCTTTAAAACTGTATCTGATGGTTTTCAATTGAGTTTTGCATCTGTTAAACTCTGTCATTGAGTTGAAAATGGGTTTAACAGACTTGGTAGGCTAAAATATTTTGGAGTTTATGAATCTAAATTGGTGTACAAGTTAGTTGTTTCTCTGCTTCTACTGATGAATAATATGATCTAGGTAAATGCTACCAAGTATTGTTTGCATTGAAGGTGTCCCCTTCTACAATTTAATATCAAAGGTGACTGGCAGCCTACCCAGTCAGTAGGCAGTCTATAATGAGTTAATCACCAGGTGCTGCTGTGATGTTTATCTTGTGGTCCCACTGCAGGTTTCCTATGCGCGCCCAAGCTCCGCTTCTATAAGAGATGCAAATTTGTACGTCAGTGGCTTACCAAAAACCATGACGCAGAAAGAACTTGAACAGCTCTTCTCCCAGTACGGACGTATTATTACCTCGCGTATCCTGGTGGACCAGGTGACCGGTGAGTAGAACAGGACTACCTCCCCCTGTGTTTTTTTTTTTTTTAACTTTCACATTTTTTTCCCCTTTCGGCTTCTCCCTTTGGGAATACTGAACGAAAAGACGCCGCCTGAGCTGAGAAATGCATCAGAGGTGCTGGTGTGAGACTCTTCCCCAAAATGCAATTTTCCACTAGAGCTGTTCATAAATATGCATCGACAGAATATGAAAGTGGCGGCTGTAAAGTAGCAGGAGTCGGTGCTTTAAATTTTCTTTCTACTTCAGCCTCTTCTCTTCACATTTGCCTTTTTAAATTTTTGGATTCCATTCTCCAAGGTCTACATGTGATGCCCGTATTTAGACTACTTATGATGTTTCTCAGGCATCATTTAAAAGCAGAATCCTTATTAAAAAAATTTTTAAAAATGGATCTGCTCATATTTATTTATTTTTTTTGTTTATTTTTCTCTCTCCCAGTAGATGGGTACAGAATCCTTTTGCATTAATTTTGGGCAAGTTTATTTTTCAAAGAAATCACACATTCCAGGGCTGTTCACATGTTCTCCTTTGCAGGTTGTACATAAGTGAACTCGAACTTTTAGTGCCTGCTCTTAAAATTAGAGAGCAGGCACCAATTCCTTTACAGTCACACAAATTCAACAAGACGGTTTCTCTAAGATGCAAATTTAAGAGAAAATTGTGATTAGACTCTTTAAGTGCCTGATTACCCACTAAAGAGTGAGTGAGTGTGCTCCCTTCACATTAATCTTTTTTATACAACATTGTCTGTCAATTTGTAACATGAGGAATGTGTAAACTTAGTCAAAAACCTTTAGAAAAACCTGCAGATGTTTCCAAAAGGCAGTTTTAAACAAATGAACAATGATTGCATTAATTTCATTATGGAGAAATAAAAGCTGAAATGATTGTAAAAGCTGAAATCCCGAAAGTGACACAGCAAAGCTGTGCAATACGTTTTAGGGAAAAGTAAACAAAAGCACACCATTTTCACTTAAATACTGAAAGCAAAAGCAAAAGTCAGCTTCTTGGATCAATTTGCAAATGTGGGAAGAAGATTGAGTCTACAGTGAACCCAACTTATATGCAATAGGGTCTCAGAAAGATCTGTGAATACCAACTCCAACTTATTTACAGAAAAATTCACTTGGTCATGGATTTTTAATTTTTAATTTTTATTATTTTTATCTAAATTTATGATGCAGTTTGGGAAGCTGAAATACCAAGGTACAGTGAGGGTTGGCAAGCTATTGGCTGGCCTTTGCAAAGCCACTAATCCAGTGGTGACATTCATTTTTCTTGAGCTTCAAGGTCAGTAGGTCAGTAACGCTACTGGCTTCTGCAGTAGTATTAAAATGGCTTCAATTGTGTATTGATGTACATTAAGGTATAGTTATCTGGAATATTAAAATAGGCATCTGTTGTTGGGGTGGGTCTCAAGTATTTGTGGATTTCAGCTATTCACAGGCAGCTGTGGTCACTCAACCTGCAAATACTGGGAGAGTCCACTGTACATGAGCTAAGCAAATAATTTGACAATGGAACATAGACATTTTTTTTAGCTATCAAAGCAACCGTGCAAAATTTGTAGTTTAAACGTCTTTTGGCTCAAGGGTCGCAGAAGTATCTGCTTAAAAGGAATAAAAATAAAAGGAACCCTAAAAGAGATCAATTTTGCATGTGCACACTGGCAGAAGTAACTGCTGTTTCAATAGCATGGGGTTCTAGATGTATAACTTTTTTCTTTTCTTGTCAAAGGTTTGTTACATGAGTGTTCTGCTCTCCTTAGGCGTTTCCAGGGGGGTCGGCTTCATCCGTTTTGACCGGCGAGTTGAGGCTGAGGAGGCAATCAAGGGTCTGAACTGTCAGAAGCCACCCGGTGCAACCGAACCCATTACAGTCAAGTTTGCAAACAACCCGAGCCAGAAGACCAGTCAGGCGCTGCTGTCTCAGCTGTATCAGTCTCCCAATCGAAGGTACCCAGGACCCCTCGCACAGCAGGCACAACGTTTCAGGTAAAAGGGACTCATCTAAACAGAAGTAAATCTGATCAGAGACAACCTGAACGAATGATTCAACCCCATNGCATGTTATAAACCATATTGCTTTGTTTTCACAAGCGGAGCAGGCACATTGCTTTTCTTCATGTCTGTGCCTCAGTTAATCTCCCAGTTTGTGCCCCTGAAAGTAGGACATGGTAACGTTTCTTTGTCTCGCGTCTAAAGTTCTCTCGCTGCACCGTCAGATGTGCAAATAAACCATAGTCTGCTGAAGGAGCACCCTTTCTGTGCATTTGCATCAAATAAAGTGTGAAGGTGAGGCTGATGGAGGCAGAGGTGAGAGGACGGCGTATTCTGGATCCTGTCATGAAGCTGCAGCTTTTACACTTTTTGCATTCATGTCAGTACAGATTTTGGGGTGTGCTCATCAAATGGTTTGACTCTGTTCTTCTACCATAAAAGGAGGCATTTTACACCATTACTGCACCACTCTGATAATCAAATCGGTCCAGTCCAACATTCCTAAAATGAGAAAATAAACAGACAGCTGCATTTGAACTTGATATGTTCCTCACCTCTCATTGGTTAAATGTCTGCTTGCCTGAAAAATGAGCTGGAGAACTGAAGAAAAATGAATTGGACTACTGAGGGGTATAATGACATATTGATTCACGAGGCATTTTTGCTTGTCAGTTTATGGATAACTGTGTTTATAATGCATTATTTTATCTAATTGATTTCTACTGGCAATACGGATAAGTCTTGATTTTGAAAAGGAATGGATGATATTGGCCATAAAGAGCTGCCATGTTAAAATGTCATTTTAAGAGCTGTCTAGATGGGCTTGGTGCTGCCATTGCTTTTGGATCTTGAAAGTGTATTTTCTTTTTTACAGTAATGCTAAGTGCTATTTAACAAAGATTAGACTGATTTGATCATTGCTCAGTTGATGTGCCAAACATTTTTATTCTTAATTCAAAGGTGAATTTCTAGTGATTCCCCAAGCAGTTGAACTGATGACTCCGTTGTTTGTAGTTATTTCTAAACAAAGAACACTTAAAATGCTAGTGTTCAAAATTACAGGCGTTTTCCAAAGTGAAGTCCAAAATGGCAAAGATCTTTGAAGATATTTAAAGAATATTTTATGACGGATAACACTGAAGTATCACCTTTGACAGGTAAAAATTACAGTAGTAGAAACATGAAACATAAAATTTAAATGAGGGCATACAACATGACCTTTTTGAAACCTGACCAAGTTTGGTACCAAATGGCCAAAACTTCAAAGGTTGAAGTGACCTGCACCTCTGAAGTCTAACCGTAGGCGTTGGCCACTTGAATGAAAGCCAATCAATGGGATCTGCAGCTTCCATTTCAACAAATGTGGCCTGGCAGCATTTGTTGTGTTTACAGATCAGAAAAATAACAGAATTTTTAATTTCTCAAGGATTGATCCAGCTGAAAAGCTTGTGATTCAGTCTCCAACCAAATTCTCTTCATTTCTAATATTAGCCTGTTGGTTGGATTTTCACCGCAATTGATCTCCAAAACTGATGTCATGATTAATGTAGGAAGAAAAAAAAAAGTAAGAAAATATAAAATGTTGCTCAACTATAACTTATGTCACATTCACAATATTTAATAGTTTTATAGCAGTCGTGAGTTAACCTAATATTGTGCAGTCTTGTTTACAGTTTAGCTTTTTTTTGTAGCTGTAATTTTTCTTCACTTGGCAATTGATGGTGAAAAGCAGTTTATTAATGATCGTTATTAATTTTAATTCACCTTCCTGAAATGAAATGAGGCTTTGCTTTAAAACTGTATCTGATGGTTTTCAATTGAGTTTTGCATCTGTTAAACTCTGTCATTGAGTTGAAAATGGGTTTAACAGACTTGGTAGGCTAAAATATTTTGGAGTTTATGAATCTAAATTGGTGTACAAGTTAGTTGTTTCTCTGCTTCTACTGATGAATAATATGATCTAGGTAAATGCTACCAAGTATTGTTTGCATTGAAGGTGTCCCCTTCTACAATTTAATATCAAAGGTGACTGGCAGCCTACCCAGTCAGTAGGCAGTCTATAATGAGTTAATCACCAGGTGCTGCTGTGATGTTTATCTTGTGGTCCCACTGCAGGTTTCCTATGCGCGCCCAAGCTCCGCTTCTATAAGAGATGCAAATTTGTACGTCAGTGGCTTACCAAAAACCATGACGCAGAAAGAACTTGAACAGCTCTTCTCCCAGTACGGACGTATTATTACCTCGCGTATCCTGGTGGACCAGGTGACCGGTGAGTAGAACAGGACTACCTCCCCCTGTGTTTTTTTTTTTTTTAACTTTCACATTTTTTTCCCCTTTCGGCTTCTCCCTTTGGGAATACTGAACGAAAAGACGCCGCCTGAGCTGAGAAATGCATCAGAGGTGCTGGTGTGAGACTCTTCCCCAAAATGCAATTTTCCACTAGAGCTGTTCATAAATATGCATCGACAGAATATGAAAGTGGCGGCTGTAAAGTAGCAGGAGTCGGTGCTTTAAATTTTCTTTCTACTTCAGCCTCTTCTCTTCACATTTGCCTTTTTAAATTTTTGGATTCCATTCTCCAAGGTCTACATGTGATGCCCGTATTTAGACTACTTATGATGTTTCTCAGGCATCATTTAAAAGCAGAATCCTTATTAAAAAAATTTTTAAAAATGGATCTGCTCATATTTATTTATTTTTTTTGTTTATTTTTCTCTCTCCCAGTAGATGGGTACAGAATCCTTTTGCATTAATTTTGGGCAAGTTTATTTTTCAAAGAAATCACACATTCCAGGGCTGTTCACATGTTCTCCTTTGCAGGTTGTACATAAGTGAACTCGAACTTTTAGTGCCTGCTCTTAAAATTAGAGAGCAGGCACCAATTCCTTTACAGTCACACAAATTCAACAAGACGGTTTCTCTAAGATGCAAATTTAAGAGAAAATTGTGATTAGACTCTTTAAGTGCCTGATTACCCACTAAAGAGTGAGTGAGTGTGCTCCCTTCACATTAATCTTTTTTATACAACATTGTCTGTCAATTTGTAACATGAGGAATGTGTAAACTTAGTCAAAAACCTTTAGAAAAACCTGCAGATGTTTCCAAAAGGCAGTTTTAAACAAATGAACAATGATTGCATTAATTTCATTATGGAGAAATAAAAGCTGAAATGATTGTAAAAGCTGAAATCCCGAAAGTGACACAGCAAAGCTGTGCAATACGTTTTAGGGAAAAGTAAACAAAAGCACACCATTTTCACTTAAATACTGAAAGCAAAAGCAAAAGTCAGCTTCTTGGATCAATTTGCAAATGTGGGAAGAAGATTGAGTCTACAGTGAACCCAACTTATATGCAATAGGGTCTCAGAAAGATCTGTGAATACCAACTCCAACTTATTTACAGAAAAATTCACTTGGTCATGGATTTTTAATTTTTATTATTTTTATCTAAATTTATGATGCAGTTTGGGAAGCTGAAATACCAAGGTACAGTGAGGGTTGGCAAGCTATTGGCTGGCCTTTGCAAAGCCACTAATCCAGTGGTGACATTCATTTTTCTTGAGCTTCAAGGTCAGTAGGTCAGTAACGCTACTGGCTTCTGCAGTAGTATTAAAATGGCTTCAATTGTGTATTGATGTACATTAAGGTATAGTTATCTGGAATATTAAAATAGGCATCTGTTGTTGGGGTGGGTCTCAAGTATTTGTGGATTTCAGCTATTCACAGGCAGCTGTGGTCACTCAACCTGCAAATACTGGGAGAGTCCACTGTACATGAGCTAAGCAAATAATTTGACAATGGAACATAGACATTTTTTTTAGCTATCAAAGCAACCGTGCAAAATTTGTAGTTTAAACGTCTTTTGGCTCAAGGGTCGCAGAAGTATCTGCTTAAAAGGAATAAAAATAAAAGGAACCCTAAAAGAGATCAATTTTGCATGTGCACACTGGCAGAAGTAACTGCTGTTTCAATAGCATGGGGTTCTAGATGTATAACTTTTTTCTTTTCTTGTCAAAGGTTTGTTACATGAGTGTTCTGCTCTCCTTAGGCGTTTCCAGGGGGGTCGGCTTCATCCGTTTTGACCGGCGAGTTGAGGCTGAGGAGGCAATCAAGGGTCTGAACTGTCAGAAGCCACCCGGTGCAACCGAACCCATTACAGTCAAGTTTGCAAACAACCCGAGCCAGAAGACCAGTCAGGCGCTGCTGTCTCAGCTGTATCAGTCTCCCAATCGAAGGTACCCAGGACCCCTCGCACAGCAGGCACAACGTTTCAGGTAAAAGGGACTCATCTAAACAGAAGTAAATCTGATCAGAGACAACCTGAACGAATGATTCAACCCCATGATTACATTCACCACCATATCCCCTCCTCATCCCCTCATATTTTACTTTATTTTATTTTTTTTTTCAAATATAGAAAATGATGAATCCTGGGTCGGTGTGTTAATTTAAAAACATTTTCAGCCCACTCACCATACTGATATCTAAAGAGTTTCTTGTAACATGCTGCTAAAGCCCTTTTTAAAAGCTCTGTGTAAACTGCATGTCTCCTGTTGACTAAGCTGTGTAGGTTGATTATTGAAAAATAAGTACAGTCAGCGGGTTATTAAAGGTCATAATAGTCCTGGGATCCCCATGAGTGGAACAACTGACTTTAATCATTGTATCGAAACCATTTTTTGTCTGTCATCTTCTCAAAATGCATCATTTCCAGCAAAGCTTTTCACTTACTGAAATGTTTGTTCTGTTTTCCTCAAGGTTGGACAATTTGCTGAACATGGCCTATGGAGTCAAGAGGTAATCAGATTTTCTTTTGAAATTTGTTTTAATTGATCCTCAGGGATCACTGACCTAATGGGTGGGCTTATTTTGTTGCGTAGGTAGTTGATGCTTCACAAGGTCGACCTGATTCAATAAGGGATCACTGACAGAATGCATGAACAGATACAAAGTGTAATTTATTCACAGAAATCAGTAGGAGTGAATATTAATATTTAAAGATTGTGAGTAAGACTAAAAGGTTGATTTGTGGAGTGAGAAGAGGCTCTAATGGTACAATCAAGAGGACCCTGAATTGAGGTCTCTAAATATTACCTGGTGCCCAATAAAACAAGCTGACTATCTTTTAGTACATCTGTAAACTCTGTTCAAAAGTTCTGAGTAAATTCTGTTGGTTATACATAAATAACCAACACATAAAATGGATGTTAAAATCTTGACAGTAGCGCACACTGCCATAGATGTAAGGGTGTCTGAGTGTGTGTGTGTGTGTGGGGGGGGGGACTCTTAAAATCTGCCCTCAGGATACCAGTCGCATAAAGATGTGATTTGTTTTACTAAAACTGCACACAGTAACTGCTTTTAATCATACTATTGAATTATTTAACATTTATTGACATAAAATTAAACTGGTTGACAGCACTGCCAGTGTTTTTAATTACAAATTTAATTAACAAATTCAAATGCATTTTTTCACAAATGATGCGATAACACTTTTTACAGTAATCATATGGGCCTCGTGCATAAGGTTCCTGTTGGCAAATTTTGAACAGTGCAATGAACAAAAATGTGTATAAAACTGTACATGTGGCTGCACACAATTCCTTTACGTAAAATAGTGCAGCTGCTCCGTGGACCGCCCTGTTCCCACCCATAAGTACCTATGCAAATTAGTATAAATACTCAGAAGGCTTCCACCTGGGCTGGACGATGAAGCAATAGCTATTATAATACACATGGCCAATATCACTAGAAAATATGTCTGAATACACACAGTGCATTTACCTAGTTTTGCCACCATGCCACAAAATAAGAGAAAATGAGAAGCGGCTAAAGAGGAAATTGTAGATGAAAGGAAAAGTCATGTCAGTTTTTTTTTTTTTTGTTTGTTTTGTTTTTTTGTTTTGTTTAAATGTCCAGAATACTGCAAATTATCTAGTCACTGGTAAGAAATGCTTACATCATGATGCGTTTTTTGAGCCCCATCGCTCAGCCCTAGCTCCCACCTCATCTTTGAGTAACCATGGCAACAGTCAACTAGTTTCAACAAAGTTTACATTCAGTTTTTAGTCAAATTTTGATATTTTTTTGTGGAAAATGGATCAAGTAAATTGTTCCACTTGATAATCCTACTATTGTTACAAAGACAAAATTTTGAAATCTTACAATTTATTTTTTTTTATTTTTTTTTTTTTAAATGCATTTCTGACTTGCGTAATATCTTTCTGAAATTTGGAATTTACCATAGTAAGTTCACACACTAAAACTGAATTATTTTTTATGGATGAATGTTTAAAAATCCAAAACCATTGACCACCTGAAGGTTTTCTTAAAAAAAAGTTTCTGTGGTATCAGATTGTTTCAGTACATCATTGTTTAGTATTTGCATTATATTTTATGTACTTCATCCTAAGATGTATATTCATTGACGAACAAAAGGCATTCTGCGATTGGTTTGAAGTCGCTGAGCTTGATGTTTGTATGGATAAACATCCATTAGAAACGGCACAGTCGAAGTTTCCCCTAAAGTGCTCATTCAAACCTAGGCATGCAGAACCGTGACACATGAAGGTCACATTTCTGGATTACTGTTTACATCACAAAGACCTACATTTTACAATCATCCCTTCTATTGCACAAAATTGCGTGCCTATATTTTGAGCTTCACTTTCCCTACCTTGATCTATTATGGACAGCCGTGTTCTGTTTAAACTTGGTTGCATCAGACACCTTTCAGGATTTGCCAGAGTATTGGTGTTGTTTCCTCAAGTGTGATTGAAGTCCAGCTTTCTGAAAGCTCAAAGGGCCATCAGCAGCAACAATACACTTGTGATTTCATGTCTGCCTCGCTCCTCTGCGTACGTCTTCGTTGCCAAATCTATCTGTGGGTCCTTGATGCTCTGAGCACACCTGTCACAGTGGATGTTCCCTGAGAGGCCAACTGGAGCAGCTAATCCTGTGTGACACCTGCTGCAATAATTTATAGGCTTTCCAAGCACTCTGAATTTTGTTTCCCAAAACCGCAAAACCACACTCGCTAATGGCCAGTGCTTTTTTATGCCGCTTTATTTTGGTCTAAGGAAAAACTTAAACTGTAATGGGATATGGATTTTCAGTTATGCTGTGCCTTTGATTTCAAGGGATTTTTTATTTTTTTAGGAATCATAGCTTGAAAAGCAGCTGTTTTTTTAACAAGTGTGGAAAGCTGTATTTTCTGGCTGACTTGTGAGATTAAGCATCGACTCGTATGAGATTCAGCCTGAAGAGCCTTGAGCAAAAAGGTCAGTTTAAGGGTGTTGCAGTGTTGATCAAAAAAGCCAATGAAAGTTTAAAAAAAAGAAAAATCATCACAATTAATTGAAATTCAAAGAACAAGTGCAACTTGTTTTGTTGTTGCTTCTAAGGTCATATTTCTTCAATATATTCTGGTAAATATCACAGATAAAAAGGCTCGTCTTTGGCTCTCAAACTACATACCTTGACTTGTCCATGAAAGTAATTCCACTTGAAGGATGGATTGTAGCTTTCTATGGAGATGGGTGTGCTTATGAAATGTTATGTACAAAGATTAAAATTGGCAGCTGATGTTGCAGTACCACTAGTCTAAGTCATGAGGAGGTTACAAGGAGTCCTGACCATGGTCAGAGTTGCGCTCCTAGAAGAGTTCCTAAACTGAGGATACTCCAGTGACCTTCTCTGTGCCCCCAATTGTTCTCTGCTCGGCCCTTTGAGCTTTGTTTTTGCAGATGGAGTTGCAAAGCTGAGATGCAGAATGTAATGGTTAAAAAAAAAGTAATGAAAAGGCTCATTATGATCAAGCATCATAATTTTAGGCATTTAATTCTCACACCATTAGTTTACGTTAAAGGTCAAACTCCATGATATATCTGTCATAATTTCATTTGTGTGAACTTCTTTGCAATTACAAAGTGCTTGGTTGAATTTTTTATTATTTTTTTGGTAAAATATACTGGCATTGTATTCTTATTGACGATTACTGACATGGTTTTTGTGGAACACATGCATCTTAAGGACTTGGTCCAACAACAATCACTGTTGGTGGGGAACCTCATTTGTAGTTAATGTAGAGGTTAGTTAATGGCTATCAATAATCTGTTATAGCCCAGCTGTTTGAAAATGCTAAATTATTCCAGCTGCTCTAAACATGTCCATCCCATCAACAAAGAATCACTGTTGAATGCTTACTGGAAGTAGAGATCCCTAAAATCAGACCTCTTGGTTCATTACAATTCATGTTATACTTAAGCTAAAATACAGGTCCACAATTTTAAATATCTGGGTCCTCTTAACGAGTGTTTTTTGTAACGTATTGGTTTTTGTAACTAAAGGGTTTTTAAAGGGAAAGTCTAGGATGAGATTCCAACAGAACTTTAATGTTCTCTTGGTTTTGGAAGATTTCCATTTTATGATTCACAATCTGATGCACTCCTATAGCAAAGTGAGGTTTTGAATACATTTTTTTTCCTCTTCATTGCAGTGAATGGTAAAAGCACTGTAAGTCAGGATGAAGGATGGATGCGGCTGAACCCTGTAGACAATTGTCAGATTTGATTAAAAACTGATCTTTGTTTAAACAGGCTGTTCTGTTCTCGTTCTGGTTTTGCCTTGAACCATGTTTGGGATTTTTCTTTTTTGTTGTTTTTTTTTCAGCCGGTTCTCCCCCATGGCCATTGACGGGGTGACCAGTCTGGCTGGCATCAACATCCCGGGGCACGCGGGGACCGGCTGGTGCATCTTCGTCTACAACTTGGCTCCAGACGCGGACGAAAGCATCCTGTGGCAGATGTTCGGGCCTTTCGGCGCCGTCACAAACGTCAAGGTCATCCGCGACTTCAACACAAACAAGTGCAAAGGATTTGGTTTTGTCACCATGACTAATTACGACGAGGCGGCCGTGGCCATTGCCAGCTTGAACGGATACCGCCTCGGGGACAGAGTTCTGCAAGTCTCATTCAAAACCAACAAAACACACAAAGCCTAAAAAAAAAACCAAAAAAAAAAAACCCACTGAGATTGTTTCTAGAAAACTCACCAAGGAAAAAGAAAATGGAAGCATATTGACCGTAACTTTCTACATTAGTAAAACATCTTTGTAATCCATATTTAGAGTCCAACAATGTTTTTGTTTTTCCTCATTGCGACACTTTGACTATTTTAATTGGTTTAAAGCAGAAAAAAACCCCAGCAGGATTTAAAACCTGACATTGAATCTCGCTGTCTTCACAGATGGATCACCTATAAGGTTACTACAGTTTTCTTGACTTTTCTTGCACATTACTTTTGATACCATTAGTCTTGTAAGGTTATGTGTTGTGATTTTTTCTTTGTGTCCTGATTTGCCATCGGTGCGTTACGCTTTGAGTGGTTAGCAAGTACTTATTTTGAGCCGTTTCTGTTAGTTTATTGTACTGAGTTGGTAATTGGTTGGCTGCATAATGTTGCTTCTTGTAATCCTAACGGATAAAAAGACAAAAAAAATTCTTAAAGCAGTACCTTGCCAAAGAGCTAAGAACCTCTTTGATGTGGGTTTAAAAAAAAAAGCATCTATTTTTATAAAAGAAAAATTTGGAGAAACTTTTTACTGGACCTGGAACAAAATATTTTGACTTGGATACTTTGAGAAATATCTTCATATGACACCTTGTGAGCTTTTGAACTTTAAATGGAAAGTTTGCAGTGGTTGATGTTTCTGGAGAGATTTATGATGTAAAAGATACCTTTTGAGATCTTTGTATTACCTTTAGATTACAGAATCGGCACCAGTGCTGGTTTCATTTGTAAATCATCTTGTGGGTCCTCCTTCATCCCGGTGGTCTGCTCGACTACAAACTCGCTTTTCTGATTTTTAGATTTGGAAACTGACAAAAATAAAGAGAAAAGATTTATTTGCTTAAAAAAAAGTGCATGCAAAATTACAGTAAGGAGAGATCTTAAAAGGCTCTGGGGGATTAAAATCAGTTCTTCCTCTAAGATTTTCTTCAGATGGAGCTCATGGTGTTTTTGTGGTGTACCTACGGTATCATTAGACGGATTTTTGTCTTAATATCGACCATTAGGGGTTTTTACATACTTTGTATGAAAGATTGTGGATAAGCTGATGATGGCAGCCGCATTTAAAAAGAAAGTCCGAAGAATCAAACGGATAACTTCTGAGCTTTGAGCTTTGTAAATAAGTATTTTTCTTTCTTTTTTTTATGTTGTATTAAGCAGACCTTTTTTTGGTTCTAGGTTAGACTTTGTTGGAAAGTGTGATTATACCTTCTTTTTTTTTTTTCCCCCAGTATGTAAGATATTGTTTTTGAAGCCTTTAATTTCCCTGAGGTTAAGATTTTATTTGTCGTCCTTTGGACTAGCATTTCAGTGCATCAAATATGTTGGTTGTTTGGTCTGTAGATAGTCTTGCTTTGTTGAAAAAAAGTATTAAAGTATAGACATTTTGTTTTTTTTTTAATATATATATAAACATTATAGATATATATTTATGTGGTAAAGAATGGATATAAACCACAGTTTGGAAATACTTTGATTTCTTTCATACTCATATATATGTAATGCATATAACCTGTCTTTAAAATCGTAAAAAGGTGTATATTGCTTTATAATGTTTGGGGAAGGACAGTGAAGCAGTTGCATTAACATCGACAAAAACCATTTAAAAAAAAAAAAAAGAGAGAGAAATTGGCTGCTAAATTTCCTTAAACAAGATCATCATGACCAAACGTCTAGATGCACTGATTACTGCACCTGCATCCTGGTTGGTGTTTCAGCCAGTTACTAGTCATGCTTCCCCCCTCAAACGAGCAGTGTGCTATGCATTATAGAGTTCTTTGCAACTGCTTTTTTTTTTGTTTATTTTCTTTATCTATTTCCTCCTTTTGTTGTTACTTGTAAAAGTTAAACTTTAAGTCAAGATGAGTTGTGATACTTGCTGCTGTGGGGGGAGACGGGGAGCACATTTTTCACGCCCGACTTGCCGCCGTTAATCTTTTTCATTTAGAAACCTTTAAATGATGGTTTGGTCTTTGCGAATTTTGCCAATGGTCCGGCGTGAAAAAACCGCTCCCTCCAACCCTGTCTATCTCACTACTTAATGGGATTATTTATTTGAAGTTGTATAGTCGAACTTGGTTTACAGCATTTTTGGAGCAGAATATCTTTTGACTATTTAAGAGGATGTACATGTTCTTTACTTTGTGTTTGGATACTTTGGATTTTTTCAATGTTCAGTACATCAATAAATAAGTTTGAAGGGCAAAGCATTGCTTGATCTTTTTTTTTTCTCCGGCCAAAAATGTATAATTTTATTCTTTAGATTGCAATTGGTGATTTCCATTCCACTTGACGCCTACAATAAATCCAGGATTCTTATAAAGTTTCTGTTTGGGGATTTTAAGCATTAAGCAGCTGGTTTGGTCAGTCACTGGCGGCCACAGCATCGATGAACTGATGCTCCTGGAGTTGAAAATGGGGTACAATATATTGGTGAGTTATTCAACCTCCATATGTTGCCTAAAATTGTGGTCTCCAAATCATGAACTTGTTGGTCACATCCATGACCTCAGGTGAAAACTGCAGGCTGTTTCTAAACGGTAGTGGGAATAACGAGCAAGTCGGAAGACCTGTAAATTCCTGTGGGGTACACCTATCGAGCAGTATCTGTTCAAAATGTTTGAAATTTCCTCCCAACCTAAGCAGAGTGGGGTTCCTTCATTTAGCATTTTCTTTTTGTCTTGCTTTTGTGCAAGCTTTACATTTAAGGTCTCTTTACAGTCCACAACTTAATAGTGAACTCTAGTACATTCGTAACTGTGGAAGGTATTGGTAGTTTTAAATAAAATTGTTGGAACCCTGTTTTCTTCACTGAAACCGATTCATGTCTTCCAGCTGGATCGACTTGGGCCTTGGTATCTTTGGAGTTGTTCTTAAACATGCTCAAAAGTTCCCCTTCTTCAGAATGGCAGTTTGCATCTTCTTCCAGACCTGGGCAAGGAGGTGATGAATCTTTCAAACCTTTCAGTGCCTAAAAGTTATTTGAATTGATGATTTTGGAGTTTGGAAATGGCTCCAAAATCTGCAGTTTCTCTTAGTTCATTTCCACCGCTTGTTTGGTTAGCCCAATGACTGCTGCTGAGCAACTTTTCCAACTCTAACCCTTTTCCATAAATGCATATCCAGAGTTTAGCTGATCAGTATCGCAAGACTTTATGGTGGTTGTAATTACTGGGCTGCAGGTGTCGGGACAGTGCTTGCCCTATTCCTAAGCAGCCATAACAGGTAATTGGACCTCGGTTCAGTTTCCAATGAAAAGAACTGCAGAAAGGTTGAAGGTAGAAGCCCTGGAAAAATCAATACTCTACATTTCATTAGAGTATTGCCAATGGCTGCTGAAGATGAAATGGATTTTAAGGCGAGCTTCCCCACTCATGCCAGGAACGGTTTCACTGAAAACGGTATTGGAGGAACTCGCATGCAGTCTTTGTAGCTTTTAGAGACGGGAGGAAGAGGTTGTTACACTTTCTTTCTGTATTTAACATTCACTGCTGAATCTGAAAAATGATTCTTTAATATCAGAACTTTCTGTAGATTTGAAGCCTGTAAGTGAAACGAAGGGCTGCTGGTTTAGTTTGTGGTGATTCTGAAGATGCAAGGAGATGAGCGATGGCATATTTGGCTCTCATCTGCGCCGAGAATCCCTCTTAGATCAGCAGATGTTTGAGCTGTATAACATGATTACACTCTGCTGGCTAAAGTAAGATTAGCCTTACCAGTCGATGGCTGTCACCGATTAGCTGCCGTAAGCTGATCTTTTTAGGTATTGATGAGAAATACTGTTTACTCTTCAGCGGGGCTAAATTAATTCAAATGTTTTGACAAGTTCTTGCAAAGCAGTGCCAAAGTATAGAAATATTTCAAAGACAAAATATTTTTTCATAACTAAGAATCTTGAAAATTAGACAAATAAACAAAAGCCAATGAGTCGTTTAAAAATCCACTTTTCTGTCAATATTAGGAACTCTGCCAAACTAAAACAAAATGGTACAGCCTTGAAATAATAGCTGGGTCTAGAAAAGTAATTTACAGTACTTATTTACATAAACACAAATGCACTGGGAATAGCATAAGATAAGAATACCCTATGTTATTACACAGTGTCTTAAACTTATCCTTTGAGGACACCAAATTTACTTCTCTCTGGTTTTGGTTGATCTGAGAATTTTGTTTTCCGTGCTTCATCATTATACATTATACAGAGTAGGTGTTCATAGCCACCAAACTGCTTCTCTCTAGGTTTTTAATTCCTGGGAGAGCTTCTCGAACCTCAGCTCTTTGATACGGATGGTTATCTTTCACTCAATACAAAGTGAATTTGAATTCATAAAGCTTTAATCACTTTTTAATTCTTAAAAGTGCGCTACTGATCATTTTATATCAACAGGGAATGGTTTTCTCACTTGTATAGGTCTTAATAATCCTTTCACTCTGTTTTCAAAATGGCGCACAACAACCACAGATTTACACTTGATGTACACTTTTTTTCTTGCAAGTAAAATATCTGAAAATTGTGGTGTACTTTTATATACAACATCACTGATTCAATACTTTCTAGAAACACAGAGTCGTTTTAGTCGAAGCCTTTTCATCTCTAGTGCCGTCGGTTGTTGTCCTGGTAGGAGGTGAAGTCTTCCTCGGGTTTTCTTTCAGGATTATCTCCCTTTGCCTGCTGAAGATGTTCAATCAGTTCACCGCCATAATTTCACCTTGGGGTTGGTGTTTTTTCCACCATGCATAAAGTTGTGCATGTAGGCCAGAAAGTCCATCTCTCCTACTTGATTTTTGACAAATACCATCTTATGCCTTTCCTTCAACAATATCTTTCTTCTCGCCACACTTCCGTAAAGGACTAAATTATGGGGGGGTGTAAAAAACTAAGCGGTATGAATATTCTTGCAGAACGCCACCACCAACAGCTTCGGATTTCTTTTACACCCAACCCTGAGGCTAATTCTTCTGGGAAGAAATGTGCTTATAGCCGTTTCGTGATGGCTTGTTACCTCCTGGTTGGATTTATGAAGCTATAAAAAAAAACCCTTGTCCTGTTTGTCCTTTATGTAAAGCTGTAAAGTGATGCAGCTTTGACCTGCAGCTCCCACATGGCTCCTTACATGAAGATTTGAGCCTAGGCTCTGTGTCCTCGATACGTTTTCTGGGTCTGCCCTTCTGCTGAAACCCAGCGTAGTGTAACGCGATGGGGGCTGGGGGATAAATAAAAGATGTTTGTCCAGAGCTGCCGATGTCAGCAGAGTCGTGCATAAACACATCTGCATACGGTCTGTCTGCTGTGATTTATAACCCAAAGTGGGTTCTGCTGGGCTCATTTATTATCCGCGCCTCGCTCTTGTGCAGATTCTTCGGCATTATAAAGGTCTTTATCATCCTCGGGGTTTTCCTCTGTGTGTGCTCATATGCATTGGCAGATGAAGAAAACAGGTTTTTAATCGTGGATTATAATACATTTAGGATAAACGTTATCGCTTGACATGCATTCAAATATGCACGCAATGTTTGTTTTGCAGCCATACGTCTCTCATAAAATGCCACCGTTTCTCCAGCCATAAATTATTTTTTTCCACGGTTGCCTTGTGGTCTTCACCAAAACTTCGATGTGTGATGAATTTCCTTTGAGCAATGGCTGTTATTTATTTTTGACTGCAGATTCATAAACATTATATTAAAGTGCTAGTTATTCAAATGTATCCCTGAAGTCTACAAAGCAAGCAAGCAGATTCCACACTGCTGTTATCAAACCAAAAGGAAGACTAAATGCATAACTAAGTACGCACCTTCGGCCATTTCCATGCAATATAAACTACATTTTTGTAGCCCGTCCTCTATTTAAAGGGACATTACGCTGATGCGCAGAGAAATTGCATAAAGTCCAAAGATTTCATCTCAAAAGCTACAGCACAGGGTAAGCATGTTTTTTATTGATGATCTGAAGAATCCGCCCCTTTAATCAAAAACTGAATTCAACTGGCCTACAAGGGTTACCAGGAGAAAACATCCCATCTAAAAGAACAGGGTTTGCAAAGTGGCATTAATGGCTAATTATCTGGATCGGTTATGTGTATTTATACACTTGGTTAGTTCTGAATATTGTTTTTTAACCAGCTACAGACTGGAGGATCTTTTCTTTACGTTTTGTGTGAAAGAGAAAACCCAGGAACTCATGGAGGGTGAACTTTCTCTTTTTTCAAAGCCTGGGTCTTTATTGATAACATATAAATATATATACTAATTAAACTGATATTAAAATCAATAAAAACAAGAGCATAAATCAATAACTTATGCAGGAAGAGAAACTGTGGAACCACCATGGTGTAGGTTTGTGCGAGGAAATCCTGGAGCGAAATATACTTTTTACTTATGTAGCATTATAATAACATGAGAGACTGATGTAGTTTTTATTTTTTATTAGCCTTAAACCATAATCAAACTTAATACAAACAGCTGTTTGAAATGTATCGCTCGGCGCTTATAAATAATCGTTTTCATGTCCGAGTTTCCCATTTTGAACCGAATTACTGGAGCAAATGACCTTAATTCAAATATTCCGATTTCTCAGTCTCCAGTTTCTCCTACATTACAAACGTTAGAAAACTTTGACTTCAGTTTTGCTTTGACCCACATGGCGGGAGCGCCTTTGTTTTATTCCTTTGTCCTCCGCTGATTTACTGCCGCTCACCCTTTGTCTCTCGTCCCCAGATGAAACCCTCTTGAAGCTGTTAAATGAAAAGGCCTCGAAGCTGATTGAGGTGGAGTGGATGAGTACCGACGCTTCACGTGGCTTTAATGGCCCCGGTGTCGCAGATGAACACAAGCGCCTTCTCCACATGTGAGGTTGCTTCATTAAGCACGTCCAAGCCTTGAGGAAGGCTTCCTGATGTCGCATCTGTCTGTTGTATATAAGAGGATAAGTGATGATCAGTGGTACTTGTTCTCTAATTCAATTCAAATCAGCCAACTTTAAAGTTTAAAACATTTATTATTAATAAATATACATATAGTTTAGATCAAACGATGCCTTAACAACATAAAGCTGTGCTGCTCTTCTTAAGTATAAAAGCCTCTTGAGCATTTTTACATGTTATAACCACAAACTTTAAGGTATTTTCTTAAGTTTTCTTGTAAAAGACTAATATAAAGCAGTGCATCATGAAAATAAAATGACAAACTATTGTTTTCAGACCTCTCTACTGTAAAACCTTTCAATTAAAAACAAAAAAATAAAAAAATGCTGTTCCAGCTATAAAATTAAACTTACAGGCGGGGCAGGAAAAGCACTACTCAGAGATGAATAGGTTATTGGGGTCGTCTCATGATCGGAAGGTTGCAGGTTCGATTCCAGCTTCCTCCTGGGCAAGGCACCTAACCTCATACTGCATATTGGCATATAAATGTGTGCAGGTGACTCTAGTGTAAAGTGCTTTGAGTGGTCAAAATGATTGGAGAATTATGGTTTACTGGTAATGAAAACTCAAGGTTTGGTGTCTTGGAAAATGAATCATTAATGGAACTTATGGGGTCACAACCTAATCAGCTAATTGACTCAAAACATCTGCTAAGGTTTTCTGAACTTTCAAACAGTTTTTCACTCCGAGTCAGCCGGCCACACGATCAAGGGGAAGACTGATGTCCAGAAGACCGTTATGGACTCCCTTCAGGATAAGCCACTGGTTGTCGGTATGCTTGTTATATTCAAGCATGATATTAACAGAAAACTGAGTGTAAGAAATAAGCGTGGCAGAGACAGGAGAGAACCGCAGCCTTTAGAGGATTGTGAAGCGAAATCCGTTTCAGAAGAGCTGCCACACACAGACGGATACAAGGCATGGTCTACAAAACGGAGGCCGAGCGTCTTAAATATTTATTTCTGAAAACTTTGGAGAAAAAAATGCGCATCCTTTTCCTTCCACTACACCATTCTGCATTACCTAGTTTTAGTCCGTCATGTTAAATCTGAATAAAATGCACCCAAGTTGCTGGTGTTAATATGGAAAAGCTCCCGGGGTGTGAATATTTTCGTGCACGTTGAAGGCTAAGACGAATGGGGAGCTCATTTTCAGTCTCTGCCTGTGACTGACAAGCCGAGTAGCTTATGCAGTGGAACACACAATGCTGAATGCTCCTCTTTTGCATCATATTTCCATGTGTCTGACATCAAAGACGCGCGTCCTTGTTCAGCTGTCTTCCTATTTCTCGGTGTCCATGGTCAAACGTGTTCGGTGATTGGATTTAAGTCCTTACACCACAAACGGTTGGAGCTCGGCTTCCTCCAGCCCCCGTCGGATCAGCTCTGGCTTCCATCATCTGTACCCCTCACCACTCTTAACAGATTACTCTCGCCATGAGGCCTTGGCATCTCCGCTCCGTAATGAGGCGGCAAAGAAAAAAGGGGCGCAGATTAGAATAACAGCCTTAACTAATCCGTAACAGCCCGATGAGGCGCCACGTTTTGGGGGGGGGAAACCGTGTCATTTCTCATTCCGCGGGTGCTGCGGCAAAATCTCGCCTCTCACTCTTTGCTTCTCAACCACCAACCCATCGCTCTCGTCACCACCCCACGCAAAACAGGCCTCAAGAATAGTGGCCGTGGCAATCTGCCGGAACGAGGACGACAGTCGGCAAACCGTTTCTGTCTTATAGTCTCAGCCCTTCCCCAACGTGCAGAGCAGAAAGAGAAATATGGGCCTCTGATTTCTAGCTGTCGGCTCTAAACAAACCACGGAGGACGAATGAGGCCCTCTCTGGATGAGCCACGATCTGACATGGACGGTTATTGACAGGAACTGTTTCTCAGTGATGAGTAAACAAGGATTTCAGACAGCGGTGTTTAGGAATGGGCTCATGCTGCAGCCTGAGACTCTGGGTTCCCCTGTTGGACGAAAGAAATCGGCTCATTAGATCCTAGTGGTCCAATTAGGCTTTGCAATTCATGTGAATTTCATAAGAGCAGCTCATTTAAAGAAAGGAAAGAGGGAATGTTTACCACCATAATCCACTCTGTAAGCATCGTAAATGAGCTCCGACTCCGAGCAGTCAGTCGCTCTTCCACTTCTTGTTTCTCGTTGTTTTTTTCTTTCCTTCGTGTGGCAGAGTTTTTACCTCTAGACGGAACAACAAACTTTGTTTACTCCCAGTGGTTTTCCGAAGTAGTTTCCGAGTTAAAATGGTGACTTTTCATTACTGAAGCGTGGAGGCTTTCCAGAGCAGTTCGCCCAATTCTGCATTCGAGATTCGACAACCAGTTGCATGACTCATGCTTTCCAAATAATACAGATATTTTCCCTTTTTTAATTTTTTTTTTTTTTTTGGAACTTACATCCTACAGTTCTGGTCCCTCATCAGAGTTAGAGTTACATAATCACATTTCTATCTGATATCTGTAGGCAACTCCTGGTTTTGCTAGTGCACATAGTTTGGAAAGAGTTTAGTTGATCAGAATTTTTTTTTTTTATAGGATTAAACCACGACTCAAACTTTCTCAGCCCAATCACTTTGAGGTACTTTTTTTTTCCTCCTTTGAAATTATTTAATAAACTTATTTCAGTGAAAATACTGATGTAAAGCTTTCCTCAGTGCAGCTATTTACTGTATAAACTAATAAACTGCAGAATTTTCAGTATACCAACATGTCGTTAGGATTCCCAAGAGAACCTCGTCTTACTAGTTACCTGAAGAAAAACATTAAAAAAAACAAAAGTAAAGTCAGGGAGTGTTGCACAGTTGGGATTTATCTGCTGTAATTAGTCCCTGAAACTCATCTCTGCTCTGCACTCGAGTGAAATCCCCAGGAAATCTCGTCGGGCAGGGAGTCCCGCTGGAGTTGCGAAGCAGCTGCAGCTCCGTTCAACAAGACCGTCGGTTTCCCCTCACGGAGCGGCTGGAAGTTCGGACCTCTTCCCGACACTCTCGCAACTTCTCGAGGCGACGGCTGGAGCTTCTGTGGCAGATAATTGTCATGTTTACTGTTTTGGCTTCGTTTTTTTTTTTTTCTCCCTCGCCTTGTTGCTGCTCGACTGATTTCCCCAAAGCAAGCAGAGCCGCAGCCTCCAAGAGGACGACGGGCCTGGAAGCAGACTCTCCTGGCAGACTGAAGCGTCCCAGTCAGTGTGTTGATGAGGCCCTGATGAAAAGCTCAGCATGGCTGTTGGTGTGCCGCACATCTGGATCGTTACGGTGTGTCGACACATGCATGAGGTACGATTTTTTTTTTTTTGTGTGTCCACTTTGATATCCGCCCGTTGGAATGACGATGTTCGACTCGGCTGACTTTAAGGGTGTGTGCCTCTGTGAGGTCTATTTTTACCGTCGAGGAAGCCACACCCAAAGGAAGAATAAAACTGAAAAAAAAAAAAAAAAGCCTCGGATCATGGTTTATAGATGAAGCAGAGTATTTCTGTGCACCACTGGGGGAGTGACTCATCCTCTTTTTCTTGTCTCCTGTTCTTTATCTCATCTTAGATCCTCAACACTGTAGGGTCCCCAGCTTTGCCAACCCCCACTCTAATTTTAATTAAGCATAAGACCCCCAAAGTGAGGGTAGAGCCACACATGTGATCAATCACTGTTCGTGTTCAGCTGCATTTACCTCTAATTGTGACAATTTAAAATATCATGTCATCCTCAGTGTTTTTGATGTATTTTCCTGCTGTTTTGTTCTCCTTGTCCTCATTTAGATGTCGCTATTTTTTATTTATTTTTGGCTTAGCTTGATCTTCTTTGCCAGTGTTGAAACTGCCCTTGAACTGGGCTCTCCTAATCTTTATTAAAACATGAAGATCAAGTGGTTGAAATATTCAACAGCAAAATGGAAAACCCTGTCAACACGACGACATCGGTTCCCTTTCTGCTGGAGTCCTGCTCTGTAACACAGCACACAATGCAGTTCAAACTAGATGCTTAAGCACAGTGTATGAAAAGACAAAACCATTTTGCTAAGCAGACTTTTCCTGTTTTAGATCTGTAAGGAATACTACTTTTGGTTCTATTTGCGAAATACCACAAAAATACATCTAAACACTTTCTTAAAACCTTCACCTTGGTCTTTAGAAGTTAACATACATCTTCCTTAGTATTTGGTAGAACTGCATTGTGAACTGTATGACTTGGGTTAAATCTTTTTGCCATCCTTTCACAAGTTTGCTGGAAACTGCGTCCATCCCTCCTGACAGAACTGCTGTAACTGAATCAGATTTGCTTCCTCGCTCGCGCACACATTTTATTGTTGAAAGAGTGATGCCTTCAGACAAGCATCCTGCTCGGGCATCATGCTGCTAGCATGCTATCAGCCCTAATTATTACACACCTGGGGTCATTGATCAGCTTTACTGCACCAGCATACTTGAAGAGGTCATGCTGTCTTTTGCTAAAGAAGAAATAGTGTTCAAGGTTGTGTTTCAGCGAAGCAGTAACCAACAAACAAACCAGTCAGGGAGCAGCATCTTGATTCCAGACCAACATTATGGAGTAGCTAGCGCCGGTTCAAGGGAAGCTAAATCTTTACATTTCATCAACTTAAAATGTATTACTTTATCATCAACTGGATTATTTAGTGGCACTTCTTAACTTTTGTTTTTGATTTAAAATCTGTCCTTATTTAATGTGTGAGTTTCCAGCTAACTTGCTAGCTTAGCTTTCTGTTCAGTTTGGATATTGTTCCCCTGTGTTTTTTTTGTTTTGTTTTTTTACTTTTGGTTATGTTGTTTATGTCTTGACACCCAAGTTGCCCAACTTGCCTAAAATAATTCAGTGAACATCCGCAGTCAGCAATGCTTCTTCGCTAACCAACTTTCACTCTCTCTATCCTCAGTAGAGGATTTAGTGATTTTTGCATCGCTTTGTGCTTTTAATGCTTTACCGCTGATACTCTGAATTGAAACGTGTAAGCAGTTCTAAGAAAAACAACGCTAAATATATCTGGTGACCCATCTACTGGAAGGTAATATATGATTTGGGAGTCTCCGTGGGCCGTATTTGTATCTCTACACCTTGAGTTACCTCAGCACTTCACAAGAAGCGCTTCTGATATTTCCAGCTACAGTAACACACACACACACACACACACACACAGCTTTGTACCTCATTACAGCCCCTCAGAGGAGCAGAGTGATTTGCATAGCTGCTTGTCGAACCTTGTTGGCATTGACAGAGATTTGCACCCATTTCAAACCTGCCACATATGAAGGTAGACAAAGTTGTTTATTGCAGCTCCAGGGCTGAGCAATGGGCCCAGTGATGCTGTGCACATTGAAAAAGGTTGCACTCTGTTCTGAGCAGCAGTCACAAATCATAGGTATCAGAGAGGTAATTGAGGCGAAAAAAAAAAAAAAAAAGAGTTGGCGACAGTTTGAATACGACAAAAGTGCATTTAGATATTAAACCAAGAAAGGGTCTGTCTGAACCCGCATGCTCCAGCCTGCGGTCCCTCAGCATGAGGAGGAGCAGGGGCCTCGCTGCTGAGACTGCAGTGCCGTAAATTTCGAGTTGTTTACGGATGCTGCCATCTTGGTGCGCTCCAGGAGGGAAACTTGGAGCCGGGCCTATTACTGGCAGCTTGATGGGAGTGCAGTGAGGCAAGATAATTAATACAACATCCCTGGACCCATAAGCTAAGCTGCAGAGCCAACCCAGGAGGGGAGACGAGAACGACAGAAAGAAAGGGGACAGCAAGGAAGGACAAATTACAAGATGGATTTATTACAGTGGAGGGAGAGAGGCTGCACATCTGCTGACAAAACGGAATGAGATCTCTGAGAGCCTCAGATACTTCTGAATTAGCGGTTTTAAAGATGCAAGCGAGCCACAGCAGATTTGATTCGATACAGCAATCAAGAGTTTTAAATGACAAAACATTTGCCAAAAAAATAAATAAATAAATAAAGGCAAGCTCATCAAATGTCATCACTCATGTAAAGCTCTGATGCATCAGCATTGCCTTCACCTGCATCTTCATTACAAATGCACAAAACAAAACGCAATTACGGTTTTTCCATTAAATAAAATACGCAATTAAAATCAGCTTTGAAAAAGCTTGTTCATGTGATAAGTCAATATAAATTATTAGCACTCATCATCGGGCATCAGAGCGAGACGTCCGTCCCTAATACTTTTGGGAAATTGCAGTCAGCAATTTTTAAAGAAGAGCTATATATGGACTCAACACTTTTTGAATGACAAACTCAACTTTTGATGAACTGTACAACAACCTCTGGAGTGGCCAGTAGTGTTTTGTCCAATGAGGGCATTGCCTACAGACGTGCGCGTCGCTGTGCCGTGTGATGCGAAAAAAAGTGTTTCCATTGTAGTTTTGCAAAATACACAAATTTTGATACTGTCAAAAAAAAATAAAAAAAAATAAAAATAAAATTTATCGAAAAACGTGCTTTTTTTCTTGAAATCGGCACATTTCCATTAAACAAATTTATTGTTGTAATTCCAATTTGCGCAATTTTATGGCCAATCAAAACGCAGCTACCGTCTACCAAAAAAAAAAAAAAAACACACTTTCACGTGCAAATAGAATAATTATCCATGCAAGAACTTTGGGTTTTATGCTTTAGAAAGATGCACAGAAAGCTCTCTGCTTGTCTGGCTTTACGGCTGCATACGTGATGACAGTTAACATGTCCGAAGCTTGAGATGTTGTTTTATAACCAAACCCTGCTTTGAACTTCTCCACTTCACCTCTGACCAGTCTGCTGTGCTCCTTTGTCTGCTCTGACCTTTAAAAGCGATGGTTTATTTGCCTCTTCTTTGGGTGAATTTGGATGGAAGAAGTTCCTGCCAACAAGATTTAGTCAGCAGTCAGCTGCTGCCAGCCAGAGAATGGCTGCTGTTGCTTCCTCAGAACTTCTTCCTCATAAGAGAAGTTGCCAGAGTCCCTTCAAACCAGAAGAACTTGCCTCTAGAGGGAAAACCTCTCCCACCCCGTCTTTAACACTTTCTCAAATCCTTTTACTTTAGCAGAAAGACGCACGATTCGAACAAACCGAGACCAAGAGTTGCCAAGCAAAATCCTGTGTTTTTGCTCCCCAGGCTGAATCTGGAAGCTCAGCTTTTACATTGTATTGCGGGACAATATCTTCAGCCTATATAGAATGAAAAGAAGCGAGAATAAAGCGCCTTGTTAGCAGAGGCTTGAACAATGGTTTTCATTCTAAATGACTGAGCTCAAGTCACTGTGCGTACGTTTATCACGTTTGCGAATCAGCCCGGTGACGGCAGCCGAAGCCCCGCAAATAGCTCGCCTGGGAGTGGACACAAAGGAGGGAGAAGGTCTATAAATACCCTGAATAAACCCGGCTCATCGGGAAGTGAGCGGAAAGCATGAGTTGCGTCGATGTTGGTGACAGGTGGCTGAATCCCACTGTAAGTGCTTTCGCCAGCTTTTCCTTTTTGCTCGCTGTTTAGAATTTGCCCGATAATTACCATATTAAAATGGATGTAGGAGTCTGTGCGGTTGTGCTGGGTGCAGATAAGGCTGCGCGAGTGCGGCTGGCGGAGTAAACCCGAGGCCTATCAGTCAGTCCTGAATTGCTTTATAATTACCCAGATCCGCAGACATAATTTCCTTCTAAAAATAATGCAAAACTTTCATTTCCCCTCTCCTGCGTTAATTCCGTTTTTTTTTTTTTTTTTCGGGGAGTAACTTAACCTCTTCCTGTATTAGTCGACGTGGTGCCGTGTTAAGCACTCTGCAGCCTAGTTTCTGCACAGCATGTGCTGCTGCTGCCTCCCTGTTTTGGGATTGGAGGAGAATCCAGATTGTGATGCATTGAGGCTGTATGATTCTGACAGCACTGACAGGATTAAGAGTGTTTTATTATTATTATTATTATTTATTTAGCTTATTTAAGTTTCATATTGATATACATCTCATGAGCTCGGCCTTTTATTTAGCCCATTTTAACACTCGAACAACAGGCGGAACCTGGACGGATCGGAAGTTTACATGAATGTCATATTAATTTGGGGCTTTTAATGATTTGCATGAGCTATTCTTGTAATTAGTGGTGTAATTATTCAAGAAACAAACCATGAAAATTATATGTTTGACTATCTACTGAATCAAAATTATTCACGCATGCCCGGATGCACCCCCGCTAATCCATTCATCCGTTATCCGAACACGCAAATCCTTACAGGGTCACCGGGGGGCTGCTGCCTATCTCCAGTGATCTGCCCCCCCTAATACTTGTCCCTTGCAGAGAAACTATTCACCCTTAGGTAGATCAAGCCTGTTATCAACCGGAAGCTCTTGGAAAGCCAGCCCCACAGTCCACTGCCATGCAGTTTAATGTAACCTTTAACTGAGAGGTTGCCAACCGAGACAGAAGCTCCTTCTTCAGTATCGATCGCAGCTATCTGGACTGAAATCTGCAGCTTCCCACACGAACAGGCCAAAAACAGAACGCGTTTGACTGACTTTATCATCTATATTTGACTTTTCTTTTATTGTGGCACAGCGGCGATAAAGGAAAACCTTCAACAACTGATGAAAGAGCAATCAAAACTACCTTACTGAGCCAGTACAAGTTATGTGATGCTGATTATTTAGAAGTATTATGTAGAGAAATAAACGTCTGTTGTGTTTAACGCAGGTTTCCGGATCCGTCCTTTACGTCACGGCAATTGAATGGGGATGTGGCCACACGTTTCATTTGGTAATGAACCAAAAAGCTCATTTATTGCACCGGGGGGTAACAAGTTGAGGTCGTCCTGTGAAGGATCGTTCAAGCATGTCGCTCAAACAAGACAATAACACTGCTGCACCTGAAGGTCGAGGTGAAAACTGATCAATAAACTGTCAAAAAAATGCGTAAATTACATCACATATAATCTTGTTAAAATATGGAGATCTGTAAGCACATAAATGTGAATTAAATCTCTCTACCGCTGCTGGACTAATATTTTTCTCATATGGTTGATTTGGCTTTTCTATCTTAATAAATAAAATAACAGCTTGAAAAGGTGCTTCTTGTATTGTTCTCGTTGTCTTTGCATGATATGTTTAGATATCCGAACCATTTAAGTCAAAAAGAAAGCCAGAAAAAAAAATTAAAAAAAAAATCAGTAAGTAGACAGATATATTTTTCCCCACTGCCTCCACTGTAAGCTACCAGGAGACAGTGTCAATAACATAAATCTATGATCCACAGGTTGGGCAACTCAGACTGAGGCGACTGTAACCCACAAAAGAATCTCTGTACGAAAGCAAAGGACAGGAAAGAACAAGCGTTTGGTCGAGACGGTTGCAGGAGAGAGGGCGAACGGCGACCGGCTGGTTCTTCTCTGATGAAATATTGATGCCGCTGACTTTGATTCTGCGATAGGTACTCTTGATCCAGATCTGTCACGGCATCAGAGACGCCTCACCACCACCGCCTTCTTATTCTTCCTCAGGTAGCATTACTGGCCTTCGGAAAACTGCTCCCCACCCTCCACCAGCTTTGATCAAACGTGTCGACTTTGAAAACCTTATAGAGATCAATGGTGTGTGTGTTTGGTGTTCGCGTGTGTGTGTGTGTGTGTGTGTGTGTGTGCGTACAGGCAGGCGGATGCTGTGGGCCTGGAACTCAATAAACAGCTGGACGGGGTTTCACTGTTACTCAGTTGTTGACTTTTATTTATCACGACTGCTGCTGCTGTAATTGATGACTGAATCAACAGACGCTGCAGCAGCCAGCGCTGACTTCTCTTCTTTCTTTCTTTTTTTTTTTTCCTTCAGCAGAGCAGCAGTCGTATCTCTTTTCCCCTCGCAGCACTCATCTGAAATTTAAATCCAATACTTTGAAAGGAGGGTAAAAAAAAACAAGCTTTATTATTTAAAGAGACCAGTTTCATTAACAAAAACCCAGGGCATTGTTCAGGCAATAAATCCTGAGGCTGCAACATCAGCGCGCTCACATCTCTGGGTTCGTCCTTTTATAGACTTTCCCAACACATCTCTGCATGCTTCTCTGCCTCTTTTATTCTCTTAAAAGACTAAAGTGCTCTTTTTCTCTCTCTCTCTCTCTCTCTCTCTCTCTCTGTGTGTGTGAGCGTGAGTGTGTGTGTATGTGGAGTGGAAAGCATCCAGTGCAGTGCTGTATTCCTGAGTAATGGAGCAGAGAACCATCTGTCTGTCTGGCCAGCCATTCGACTGTATCCCAAGATCCCATCAGTGTGTCTCACCTGCTAATGAGAAGCTAGCAGGTCTCCTGCAGCTTGCAGCCCTTAAAATGGACGACTTCCCTGCACTGTGGAGGCTGCTGAGAAACACGCGGCTCCTCCTCAGTCGTCTTCCTCGTCAGCGCAATCAGCCGTTGACTAATTAAAAACGAGGGAATCAAAAATGGCGCGCGACGCCAACAGTTCACACGATTTGACGTTTGACTGAACTTTCTCCTATTGTAGCTGACCAAAAAAAAAAAAAAAAATTTTTTAACGCAGTGACGTCTCGAGTATTTCTTTATTTAAAACATTTAAGATGCAGTTTTCTTTTTTTCATACCTGAACAAATTGTAGTCTTTGGTTTAGTCAGCGAGTCACTAAAGCAAATACAGCGGAAAGGGACACGACAATTGGCCGGGCCCAAACAGAAGGCTTTGTTTAAAAAAAAAAAAGAAAAAAAAAGGCTATAATTGAATAAGTATAAGGAGTCTGCTGCACAAAACCAGAGCAATGACTATTATCAGGTTGATAACCAATAATTACTTAAAAATCTCTGTGCTCATTAAGCAGCTCCTGTAGAGAGGCTGAGCTCAATATAGCCCTCCAGAATCCCCTCCCCTCGCCCACCAACATCCCGCTGCTCTCCCTCTCGTTATATCCCACTTTTCCTCCTCCTCTCTCTGCTTTTCATTCCCGCTTCCCTTTTAATCACTTTCCATCCCCTCGCTCGGTCGTGCTCGGCTCCGTCCCTTTCCTCCCGTCTTTTCAGGGGCGATGGCAGTCATTTTTCATCCGTCCTGCGACGCCCTGTTTATTTATGTACAGGCCGCGCCGGTCTCTTCCTCCTCCCTCCCTCCCTCTCTCTCTCTCTCTCCCCCCCGCTCCGTCTCCTCCACTCCCGGGAAGATTAACCATACCCTCTCCATCTCTTCTCATCTACTCATCTATCATCCTAATGGGGGCTACAAGAGGGGAAAAAACAACAATTTGCAGAGGGTGAAGCAGCCACAGAAGGGCACGGCGAGTGTCTGGAATGCCACCTCGGATCAATTTCCACTTTGTCCCCGGTTTAATTTACGCGCCCGTTTTTCATCCCGTCAGATGTAGCAATCTTCTGTCACCGTGCGTGCATGGAAAGCAGAAAATGTTTTGCATTGGATTTATGGCGACATTAGGGATGCCAACACAGAGCTGTTCTCCTACCCTAAGTGAGTGCAGGAGCCATCACGCTGGAAATAATCTCCAGGAACGTTCCCCGACTAATTTACACCATTTATCTGGTGAATTACGAAGAAGGATGGGGGGGGGGGTGGGTGGGGGGATGATATCTTCACAAACCAGTGATGTCTGACAAACTGCAAAATTGGACATTTCACATGGAATATTTTACAAATATTTTGGGGGTAGTGACTTTTCATTCTGCTATGTTTTGCCTGAGTTTTCTCAGATATCCTCATTGCTATTGCAAACCGGAACATGGAACAGCCTGCGTGCAGAAGTGAAACTAATCTGGACAAACAACACAAGAAGCAGAAAATCATCCAGCATGCCGGATAGGTCAGCGTTAGACTGAATCACTTTTTTTTTTTTTTTTTTTGGATTCTGCTGCTAAGTACAAGCTGTGGCCGGAGGATCATCCTGTTTCCGATTAAGATTTCAGTCAAGTTTTATTTCATCTCCTAGCCAGTAAAGGGCGGAGCGCGGTGCGGATGAACTTCCACACGGCCTCGGACAAAACCATCCATCCTGTCCGAGTCTTTCTAATGGACTAATTTAGTTTCTAAATGAACTAATTCATCCTGATTTAGTTCATTTAGACTAAACTGAACTACGTCCGGCTGGATTGAACCACTTGCCCAGTTGCTCTTTCAGCTGTTGGTACACGTTGCACTGCCTTATCCGCCGTCTTCATGAAGTGTTTGGCTTTTGCTTTGGGGTCAATCTGCAGATTTTGAACTAAAACATGTTCATCTCTGTGAACCATCCTAAGCGTTATGATGGTTGGACATTGCCATCATGTCTGTACTTGGTGTAGATGGATGCAGCACCTTCAAACGTCTGAAAATCGTTCCTAAGAATGAACCACACATGTACCACAGTTCTCTTTTCTGATAGCTGATTTTTTTTTTTTTTTTGACTTTCGTTTTGTGTCAGTCAAGAAAACGGTGTGTTCCCAGTGCCTTCTTAAAATGCACATACGTATTTTACAACTGTACCGTTTTTTTTTCTAGCTTCATTCGCTGTGATTTTTCAGATTTTCTGCCACAACCCGCCGGTGGCACTCGCATCCTTCATGTTGCATTAAATGTCCTCGACTGCCTCCACACCATTTTGAATTTTTTTTTTTCTGTTGTTCTCTCTAAAACGCAGCAAAGGAAAGACCCCCGTGTCGTCGCTGGCTCCCGTGGCCCCGATCGCCCTCTCCACCAGCCTCCTTCGCTGTAAGAAGCCAACTGCAGGAGGCTCCTGCGAACCACATGCTATCACAGCTCGGCCTTCCAGCCTCCAACCGCGGCACGCTTACACTCATCCACTCCACAGGGGAAGTGTTGAGCCTCGTTCGCCGACATGACAGCACAAACACAGAAACACCCTTTACCAGACTGGCAGTGCTGCCTCGAACCCCTCCTCTCCTCTCACAGTTTCGCATTTCTCTCTCTTTGCCTGCTCCTCCCATCGCTGTTTTCTCCTCAGTCTCTCTCCTCCTCTCAAAGAGCAGTTTCCCCTCGAGCGTCGTTGCGCGCTGCCGTCTTTGTTGGTGTTTACTTGTCTGAGTGTCTTTCTAATCCTCCCCCATCTTTCTGTCAATATTAGTCTTTGTTCATCTGTATCTAGGATTTTATTTTTTTATTTTTTTTCTTAACGTCTGCGTGCTGAATAAAGTCAAATGTGACCCACATGATGCTGAAGCATACACACTGCTGGTTTAAAGCTCGATCCAAATACAGGCTTCAACTGTTTGGTCCGATTAAGATTATTAAAAATCCCATTTCCGAAAGGTTTTCTGCAGAGTTGACTCTGCTTGCTTCCCTTCCTAGACAACTCTCTCTATTTTTTTTTATTCCCATGTTATTATAGCTAATGCAACCAATGAATCTGGATATATTACATTTAATTTAACCATAACTGGGCAGAAATAAACTCCGTGTCAATGTAATTAACTGGCATGCATGCAATCAATATTAATATAACCAAATAAGACTGTTAGTAAGAGACATTAATTGGACTAAGTTTTACTACATGCAAATCTGATTAACTGGACTGAATGGGATTCTGTTTTTAGAATAATTTTTGACTGCATTTGGATTTCAAATTGATTTAAAGTAATTGGGTTGAACTGAACTGAATGCTGTGAGAAATAATTAGACCAAACTGAACCGCCTGCAACCGGACTGAATCATACGAGAGTCGTGAAAATAAATGCCACAGATACTTTCAGGGTTTTAAACACAACTCACGTAAGGAGGCCATCGTCCGTGACGAGGCCGTCGCAGGTTCAAATCCCGGCCTGGTGACCATTTGCCACATGTCTTCCCTCACTCTCATTACCCACTTTCCTGCTTGAACACTTTCAAATAAAGACCTTTAAAAAAGATAAGAGCCAAAATATCACTTAAGATGGTGCTCTAATATGTTTTAAGCAATACAGCATGGGTTTTTGTGGTTTGGTTCGCTGTCTTGTCCGTTTCCAATGTAAAAGCGGCCCATGAAACTGAGCCGTACTGGGTCAAAGGACAACGGTACGGTACGCTTAGGGTGGAGCTACTGGTGTCACAACAACACAGCCCATTGATTGGCGGACAGAAAAACGTCACTGCTTACGACAACCTTCATCGTCGTGCTGCTTTGACGCGATGGTTTGCGTTTCACCCCGCTTGCCCTGTCAGAGACCAACTGGCACGGGGGACGCTCTCCTGTAGCTAAAAATAGCTTTTTAGTTTTTTACCAAACCAGCTCATTATGCACTGCTCAGTGGAAATGAGCAATACTTGTTTGCAAACGCCAGTCAAACTGCATTGACCCCAGGTATTTTCAGCTTACGTCCAAAGTGCATTTCTTTAGAAAATTTTAGAAAAAAAAAAAAAAATCCACAAAGTTGCTAGTCATTGTAAAACATACAGTCACTCATTTAATTGTGTTCCAATCAATTTTATTGTGAATGTGATGTTATTATAAAGCATATAATGTCCATGGGGCATCCTTGGACTATTCAGTCAAGACAGAAACATAAATGCACAATTTTGCTGTCAGCTTTGGTGGCAGAGCTTCCATGATCAGCAGTAGGATTGAAAATGTGCAATTCATGGTGAACATAGTGCTGTTTAGAAAAACGAACTGTTAAATGTTTTGGGACCGGAGCCTCTCCATTGCGACTAATTGGAATAAAGTGGAGACAAGAGGAAGTCAGATGAGTCTTGCCAACTCAGCGCCAAGCTTCCCTCTCTCTCCCCTCCAGTCCCGAGGCCACAACTGGCCTCCCTTTAAAAGGAGCCGGCTTATAAAACAATCTCCAAAAGAGTGAAACCGGCGCTGGGCTGTGGTGGGCGTCAGTCAACCAGGCGAAGGCCCCGCTGTCTCCCACTCTAGAGGACAGGTACCTTGAACTAGCTTCTCCAAAGCTGACTCCGAGATTTAATGCAATCGAAAGCCTCTGGGCCCTTTTTAGCAATTTGGAGTCAACACACAAATACACCCACGCTCAACTGGAACGACTTTCCATCCCCTGCCCCTTCATGTGCTAATGTGCTGAATGGAGGTGTGTAAGAATCTGCTCGGGAGCGTGTGTGTTTGGTTTCCCTGCTGATAGCTTCCCACCGCTCCCTCCTCCTCCTCCTTTTTTTTTTTTTTTTTCCCCCTTTTGATCCAGAGCTGCACATCACTGGACATGAAAAAAATAAAATACACACACACTCCAGTATCACACAGGGTTAATGTGGGTTTTTAATAACTGTCCATCTAAAACTAATTTTT